CTCCGGAGGCCCCTTTCGCCGCGCCCGCGCCTTTGGCCCCCTACAGTGTCATGCCCACCACGGTGACGGTCGACCCGGGGACCAAGGAGATCAACGCCCCGGAGAACCCGACCCTCATCCCGACCATCCCGCCCATCCCCACGGTGCCAACAGTGCCGCCGGTTCCGACCATCCCACGAGTGCCCTCCATTCCCAAGGTCCCCAAAATCCCGACGGCCGAGCTGGGCGCCGGCAGCAGCGGGTCCCTGGCCGATGGCTCGACCGATGGCCCGGCCGAGCAGCCCACCGAAAAGGAGGTGGTGGATCCGCCCCGCCCGTCGACCCCCTCGACCGAGCCCGAGCCCGAGCCCACGGCCGCCACGCCGCCCGTCAAGGACGACACCATCGAGCCCATGCCCACCGCCGGCCCACCGGCCAAGGACACCATCGAGCCCATGCCCACCGCCGGCCCACCGGCCAAGGACACCATCGAGCCCATGCCGACCATGTCCCCGGAGCCGCTGCCCTCCGAGGGGGTGCCCATGCCGACGGCCACGCTACGCCCGCCGCCGGACACCGAGGACCCGGTCCCTCCCACGGCCCCGGCTCCGGAGCCCCATCCGACGCTGATCCCCCGGCCGACGCTCGTGCCGCCCCAGCCGACCGCCCCCCAGCCGAAGCCCACTCTCTTCCCGACCATCCTGCCCACCATCGTCCCTCGACCCTCCAAGCCTGTGGCCCCCAAGGACAAGGGCCCGGTTCGTGCGGCCACCCTCGAAGGCTCGGAGGAAGACTTCGAGGAGCATCTCGAGGATGTCGGTGCGTAGCAAGATCCGCCAGCTGGGCCATTGGCTGGGCCGAATTATCGCCAGCCGCCCCGTCGCCACTAACCCTGACCCGTGCATGTGCCCTTCCCTGTTCCGGCCGCGCCGCCTAACCGTCGATGTGCCGCGTGTCGTCCGGTGGGGCTGGGGGAAACCCACAACATAGATGGCGACCGCACGGTGAATGAGGTCCCACGGCTACCCGTCCGGCCCCAGCCCACTGAGCGGGCCTCCGAGGGCCAGGCTCCCCTGAGCGAATCGCCCTCCGAGAGTCCGTCTGTCGAGCCCACCGAGGCGCCGACCGCTGCTCCGACTGCTGCTCCGACCGAGGCGCCGACCGCTGCTCCGACTGCTGCTCCGACCGAGGCGCCGACCGCTGCCCCGACCGCTGCTCCAACCGCCGCTCCGACCGAGGCGCCGACTGCCGCCCCGACCGCCGCCCCGACCGCCGCCCCGACTGAGGCACCGACCGCTGCTCCAACCGCCGCCCCGACCGCCGCTCCGACTGAAGCCCCGACTACCGCTCCGACTGAAGCCCCGACCGCCGCTCCGACTGAAGCCCCGACTACCGCCCCGACTGAGCTCCCTACCGAGGCGCCCACCGATGCTCCCACTGTCCTGCCACCGGGTGAAGATTCGGATTCCGAGTCGGATGATGTCTCAGGCAGCCAGGGAGCCTCCAATGGCGAATCCCACAGCGCCCCGACTGACAGCAGCATGAGCGGCTCGCATTCGGGCTCCGCCTCCGGTACCGACTCGCATCCCGGCTCCGGCTCCGGCTCCGGCTCCGGTTCGCATGAGACTTCCTCCTCGGGACACGGCTCCTCCTCCTCCGAGCATGCCTCCTCGTCCGAGCATGCCTCCTCGTCCGAGCATGCCTCTTCATCCGAGCACGCCTCTTCCTCCTCCAGCGGTGACAGCCATGCTGGTAGCACTTCCGACTCCAGCAGCGGCTCCAGTGGCGTCATCCCCCCGGGCGGCTATGAAACCACCTCCTGTGCGTATGACAAGCTCGCCCCTACATCCGCCCTCCCGGGGGCAGTGCCGGGACAAATTATCGCACATCCACCGAACATGCTGCACTCCCTTCTTCTCTCTGACGCCCTGCTGGGGGGTCTGCGCGGCTTTCCCCCCCTCCCATCACGCCAGTCTGGATCATCATCCTGGACAAGGAGTACAGCGACTGGAACGATAGCATGACACAACGCTGGAAGGGCCAGGCCATCACACGCCTGAATCACGATCGCACATCCAATCTCTACAGCCTGATGGTTAACCGGGCCGACACGGTGGAGAAGGGCACCCACATGGGCCGGTACGAGGACAAGACCGGCAAAAAGGCCCAGAGGGAGGGAGGGAGACAAAGAAAACACCCCGCGTCAAGAGGCATCTAGCCCTGCAGAACCTCCCTTCCAGATGACGTTCCAGCGTGACCCTGACCCCGGCGTATGCCACCCCTGATCGCCCCCCCCCCCCCCCCCCCCC